ATTGATTTAAAATCATCGTTTTACAATCACCGTCCTTTCACAGAAATGTATAAAACTCTTATTTTCCATTTGACTCATACATAGACTTGTCTATAAAATGAAAACTCTGTTTTCTGGTCAGTTCTATGTGAAATCAATTAAACTAGACACAAGCTTGAGAATTCTATAGCTACACATTACACTGAACTGGGGACAAAGTGTGCACATATCAGCTAATCCATTAAATCACTTGGATATATAAATGGAATTTATAATATCGTTTATGCCTTCGGTGCAAGCGAGGTCTTGCCCGATTATTGGGTATTTGTTATTTGTGAATTAGTAGGTTATAACATGGAAAGGTCTCTTTAAAGATCATTAAAAATTTCATCTCCATTTTTTTACCTGAGCAAAGATTATTGTAGATCAAGTACAGACAATCCCAATAATAAAGAATTTTAAAATTAAATATACTGAAATACAATTTAGTTTATTATTTCATTTGTTTTCTGATGGAACATAAATTAATGCTGTATTCATCAGAGGTGAAACTCACCTGCTGAAGAAACGAAGATTACACTAGGAAACCACATGAGGCTTCATTCCAATTTAACAGTCACTTGCTACACAACAATTACCGGTAATATTTTTCTTGAGCAACAGTTTAACTTTTGAGAACAAACGTTTACTTTCCTTTTCTTGAAAAAAACTGGGCTTGATTTTCCAGCCTTAGTCTGATTTTGACTTTACCTCCATTTTACACTCATTTTGCACAGATACAAATACCCACAGAAGCATAACGTAGTGGAGGTTTTTAGCTCTAAGTAATTTCAAGGAGCAGTTTCAGCTGAGGAAGGAGACGGATCAGTTGTGAGACATCAGAAGAGCAGAAAGGAGATGTTAAAAAAAGGCAGGAATGCTGTGAAGAGTCTTTCTTTATATGATGTCTAATCAATGTACCTTTCTTATACTGTCAAAGGGGAAATCCCTTTCTTCTTAAGCATTGTGCAAACTGTACTTGCAAGCATGAGACTGCTGTGTGATTGTGTTACACTCAAGAAATATATCCATCCAACCTAGAACACAGAAATATGGTTTAATACAAATATATCACTATTACCAGAAGTTTGTATTGGAAAGACATAGTGGGTGACTGAGATGTGTTTACTCATGGTGAGTATTACTGAATGACTTCAGCAATACTGTTCGAAGGGAGAGGTAGTATTGACCACAGGTAACTATGTCAAATATCCGCCAATATTAGAGAGCCAGCGTATGGGTGCTGGCAAGCAATAATTTTTCCTGCCATGTTCACAGATTATTACAAAATACTTTTTACAGCAGAGGGAAACATGATACTGAGAAATTATCGGGAAAGCAGCATTCAGCTGTTTCTGAAGAACTCAGCTACTAACATAAGTAGATTGACTCTGATGATATGAGTATTTTGTCCCCAAAATTTGTATCTGAAAGGTAGATAACACTCTATTTAACTTGTCCTTGCTGAAGCATACTGCAGAATTCTGCATGATTCAAATTATTTGTTATCAATACATTTTTATTAGGTAGCTCTAGATAGTCACTGCCATTTTGAAATATTGGCATTTGCCAACTGAACAGATATTTCTGCCACTCTCTCCTTTCACCCAAAAGGGAGAATATCTGTAATAACTGCCAAGGGGCTATACAGAGAGGCCTGGCAAATTAATGCAATACGAGGTCCATTTTGTGCTACTCTAAAAAGTGAGTATCAAAAAGCCCCCATTTATTATCACTAGAGTAATGGAGATTCAGTCTAGAAAGAAAAAAACTAAAGAGAATAGATTCCCCCAAATAGTTCTTTAGATAATATACTGAGAAGCATTAAAGGTCTACTTCAAAGTCAGAGAAGTCAGGAAAGTAAAAGTTGACGCTAACACAGCTTGACCCTTTCATTTCATATTCATGGGCTGTAGCAAATGAAGTAAGCCATCATAGCATAACAGGAATCTGAGTAACATGACAGGCTAATCTGCATATATTCAGAAAATGTCCTATGTAGGTGGAGTGACATTTTTTTTCACATAATTCATAACATATCTTAGTCTAAAGGTAAAAGTACAGAGTTATCACAGGGTCTTGCAACTCCAGGCAGTGTTTCAATTAACTGGGGTCTAAGAGCCGAAATGAATTCAGTCCAGGTGAAAGGAAGCCAAATAATCTACAGGCTGTGCCAAATCTCACTGTTTCATGGATATAAATCTAGCGTAACTCTGCTAGCCGCATTCAAGTCACTCAACATTTATAGCAACACAAAGGGTTGCAGAATTTGATGTGCTGAGAATGTGCATATCCCCCAAACTCCTCCTGTTCTGCCAAGGCTCTGATAAAGCGTTCAAAACCATTAGTTGCTTTCCAGACTTGGGCAGATTGGGCTCAGAGAACATAAATAGCTGTAAATAGGGAATAGCTGTAAATTAGGAAGTGACATTAGGCCCAATTCCTGACCGTTTACATGCAGCAGATTTCTAGGAAAGAACAAAAGGTTGCTAAAGTAACATGTTCAACCACTGACCTAACTATATGCCAGAATTGTTCCTCTGGTGATGGCAGAGTTGCAGTGAGTGACTTGAAAAGTAGCACAAAGGAGAAGAAGGTCTTTACCTAATACAGAACGACGTGGATTCTTGGGAGCAAAAAAACACATCAACAACCTGATCATGAAGCATGAACGCAAAAGAAGAGGATAAAATGTATTTCTTGAGTCTGCTGATAAACAGATGGCATTCCTTCCAGCCTCTATTTTATCTACAGAATTCAGGAATTCATTATTACCAACCTACTATGAGCACATTTTTTATGTCCAATTTGGAATCGTCTGGGCTATACACCAACTTCTTTTTTTTTAGCTTTTTTGCTGCATCTCCTTTTAAAGCCAAGGCACAAAAAGTTCCGGAGGCTCTAGCCTCCACAAAGGGGACAGCCAACATTACTGTTTATTTCACTATGAGAAAGACTGGCTTTTGAAACTGCTTTTTCAGAAGCACAAGGCTGGAAGGCACCAACTGTCGCTGCAATTGCTACACTGCAAAAAGCCAATTCTCTGTTTTCTTAGGACTTAGCAAAATGAGAGTTTTGTCTTTCCTGTTCTGCGTCTTACTCCGTAACAGTTCTCAGAAATTCCTGCAAAAAGATGATGCAAAGTGTACCCCATTTTACAGCTGTATACACTACAATCTTTATTTTTTATTTGAAACTTACATTTAGTTCTCTTTTCCTGAAATAGATCCACTTCATTTTTTTTAGCTCTTCTGAAATAACGGAACAAATTATAACCATATTAATTCATGTAGCCATATTAGCCAGTTAGTGGTTGACCTAGAAGTCATAAGGATCGCCTGAGAAGTATTACTGTGCTCCAGATAACTTCACTGGCAAAGTAAGGAGGTCATGACAGATGCTAAAAACATTTTTTTATGCCAGGGTTTCCAAAGGAGAATGAACTCGCCACTACCTTACATTTCTTTCAAAAAACATACTTAAGTTCTTATATGTGTATACTTAATGATAGAAACAAATATACACATTTAAATTCCTACTTGTAATACCTAGTTCAACTGATTTTAGTAACAAAATAACC